TTTTCAAACGTCTATGAATAATATGAATACTACTTGACAGGTACGTGAATTACACTTAACAGGTTCATCTCCTTGAAGTTTACAAAGATCAAATACAACAATCCCTTAAAAAAATCTAGATAGACAAATATGTAAACAACTATGTTGATTATCTTAAAGCTAAAAACACATTATGATAGGAGGCTACAATGGTGGTGCAAGTTTTATTGGACAGAAAAAGAAAACATGCAAATTTTTATATGATATATTATTATTCATGAAAACAAGGAAAGTTTTTGTTATAGATTTCGTGCAAAGAAAGACAAGGTGCTACGTGCACTAGCCATCCCTAATTTAGCAGTATAAGACTAGAGGGAAGGCAGCTGGTCATCATCACCCACTGCCAACTCTTGGGCTACTCTTTTACCAACGAATAGTGGGATTGACCATCACATTATAACACCTCCACAGCTGAAAGCGTGAGCATGTTTGGTGGGATGGGGATTCGAATCCACGACCCAAAGATTGCGAATCTAATTCCATAACCACCTGTACAAGGAATGAAAGATGATCTTAACTCTAAACATGCGGCCATCAGTAACTTTTTTATAAAAGGATTCTACTGATTTTCTGTAATATTATAACCGACATAATAAAGGACAAGAATAAATGCAGTAATTTCAGTTAAACTGTGTAATATTTTGAATCTTGTTAGGTAAAAAATTTGAAAAAGTCATATAGTTAGTTCACTTATTTAAACCACAAGTAAAAACTTACTGGCACCCATCTTTTCAACTTTGCAACATATTATTAACAACAACAAAATTGAAAGTATGGATTTTCTTTTTTTAATGACGACAACAGAGAACATGAAAATAGATAGAGGCATTCCCTGAACTTTCCTGAAAGTATTCAAACAAATTAAATATTTTGTTCCCCAGGAACTGCCACACTATCTCTAATTATTCTGAAAAAAAAAAAAGTATTTCCATTTATTCTATGATGTAACCACAAGTTCATGAAAAAATCTAGTTTTTCACGTGACTTCAACTTTTCAGAATACACTATCACAAGCTTACAGTTGAATTTGCAAATCAGAATATATAATGAGTAGGTAACTATCACTGTTAAACTTTGGTACCTTCTTTGTTCTCAACCAGGAAAAATTAGCATGTTTACAAACTGTATTACAGTAGAATAAAAGGATTTTATGAAGTACATATAAATAATAATAGATGCGCTTTTATCTTCATCACCGTACATTTAATGTCTTATCTCAAAATAACTGGTAATATGTTTAATTAGTATTCGTTATGCAAACAGTAACAGAATTTGTAGTAACGGCAAGTTCAATCCAAAGTTTTACTAGTGTTCTCTTGCTTTTTGGTTGTGTTGGTCTAGATATAAGCACTATGTCAAGTGTTAACTATGGAACTGAGAAAGTACAAAGAAAGAATATAAAATTGATAATTATAGGTAAAAATCATAAATAATATTCCATGTTAAACTGGTACACAATTAAAAACAT